AAAGCGCTAATATTTTAGTGGAATGTAAAAAGTTAATAGAAAGAAATTACGATTTATATATTCCAAATTTTTTTACTCAGAAGAGTGGGGTAATTAAAGGGGTAGACAAAAATATTTCAGAAAACGAATTAAAAGGTATTATTGTTCCAAGATACGGCAATTTTAAAGTAATAAACGTTAAAAGAATAAAGCGAAAAGAAAATGATCAACTAGTGGAGACGGGTACGATAGTGGTGTCTTTCAGAGGCCAAATGATTCCAAAACAAGTAATCATTGAACGAATGATATACCAAGTGGAACCTTACGTTCCGAGAGTAATACAATGCCTTAATTGCATTAGATACGGACACGTTACGTCACAATGTCGAGGTAAGAAAAGATGCAGCAAGTGCGGACAGGAACATGATTCAGATGTATGCGATTTAACAGATCCCACTTGTATATTATGTTTCGGAAACCATTCAGCATTAGATCGAAACAAGTGCGCTGAGTTTGAAAAACAAAAAGGCATTAAATATATAATGGCAAATGAAAATTTACCTTTTGAAGAAGCAAAATTAAAATACAGCAGTAGCTATAGGACAGTCCTGAATTCAACAAACACAGGAAATAGGTACACAGTGACAACCAAGAGAAAATGGAGCGAAGGAGCTCAAAATAAATCAGTTTATCCTTATTCAAAAGAACACGAAAATATACTGGACACTGCAAGCACTTCTGCTTACCCGTCGCTACCAATTATAAACAACCCATTATATCAAAATCAAACAAAAATAGTCCAACAAAACTCACTAACTAGTAAACAAATTACTGATAATATAGTAACAATATTTAAAAATTTCTTAGACAAAAATTTAATTCCAATAGCAAACAAACAAATTTTAGACGACATTAAAAGTAATATAGAAAAAGTTTTAAATGGGCCTAGTTAATAATAAGATTTTACAATGGAATTCACGATCAATAGTGAACAATAAAGGCCATTTTGAAAAGTACATTTTCGAAAATAAATTCTTAGCTATTCTTTTAAGTGAAACTTGGTTAAAACCGAATTCAAAGATAAGCTTCTCCCAATATAACATATTCCGTGAAGATAGATCAGATGGTTATGCAGGAGTAGCGATATTATTAAGAAAAAATATCAATTTTCAGAACAATTTAAATTTTTATAAAATAAATAATGTCATGTGCGTTGCAGTACAGATTAAAATAAATAATAAAAACTTAAATCTATATTCCATTTATGCAAAACCCAAACTATGTGTGTCAAAAAACGAATGGGTTAAATTTTTTAATAGTTTACAAAAACCTTTTTTAATAGGGGGAGATTTCAACTGCCATAATAAAATGTGGGGCTGTGATGTCACCGATCAAGAAGGTATTTATCTTTTTGAGGCTATGGAGGAATGTGGACTTAATTTCCTAAATGATGGGTCAGAAACATTAATTCGTAGACCAATGAATTTAAATAGATCTGCTATAGACTTAACAATTTGCTCTAGGGATATTTATTACAAATTTAATTGGCATACAGAAACTTTGAGTCTGGGTTCTGATCACTACCCAATAGTAATAGAATTTAACCATAATACTGATAATAACGTCACTAATAGTAATGGTGTCATTGAAACTAATGATATATCTAGATCTAGAATTACATGGAATATTAAAAAGGCAGACTGGGCTTTCTTTACCTATCTCTTAAACAATGAAAAGAATAATAATATATCAGATGGTTCAGAGCAAGAATATTCCACATTTTGTGACTCTATCAATTTAGCTAGTAAATGCTCTATTCCAGAGAGGAAAGGGAAGCCCAATGCAAAATTTAATAAACCATGGTGGAATGATGATTGTAGGGACGCTATAAGACAACAAAAAGAAGCTTTTTTGCAGTTTAAAAGACTATCTAATTACGAAAATTATTTAAAATATCAACAAGCAGAAGCTTATAAAAAAAGAATTATTTTAGGCAGCAAAAGAGCTTCTTGGAAAAACTTTTGTAATAGTTTAAATAAAAATACACCAATTAGCAAAATATGGAATGAAATAAGAAAATTAAAAAACGTTTATAATCCTCCCAATAATCCGATAGTTGTAAGTGAGTGGACAGATAAATTTTTTAATAAAATTGCTAGACCTTGGGTTATAGAAGGAGAAATTTATCACAGGAACCCTACGGATAATAGACATGACAATGACGAAGCAAACAAAGACAACATATTTCTCACACAAGCATTTAGCCTGGAAGAATTAAAGAACTGCCTAAAAAGACATAATAATTCAGCTCCAGGATTAGATGGTATACACTATAGTATGTTGTATAATTTACCCATACATAAAAAAATTCAACTACTAAATGTAATAAACAATATCTGGATGAGTATGGATATACCACGTGCATGGAAAGAGTACATCATAGTTCCAATTCTCAAGCCACACAAATCACCAAACTGTCCGGATTCGTATAGAGGCATTTCACTATCATCATGTGTGTTAAAAACAATGGAAAGAATGATTAAATGTAGACTAGAATTCTGGTTAGAAAAAAATTCTAAAATACCTGTAACACAATTCGGCTTTAGAAAATCATGTTCTACGATGGAAAATTTAACGCACTTAATACTGGATATATATAACTCATTTTCCGTCAACAAGTCGGTATTTGCTACATTCATAGATATAGAAAATGCATATGACAATGTGAACCTACAACTTCTATATCACAAAATGAAAGAAATCGGACTGCCAGATATACTCTGCTGGAAACTTCATCAACTTTACATCAATAGAACTCTTTATCTTCAAATTAATAACAAACTAATAGGACCGAGAGTTTCAAACATCGGGTTACCTCAAGGGAGCATCTTAAGTCCAATATTATATACTATTTACACAGCTCATATAGGTCAAAGCATAATAACTAGCAAACAAGGTAAAATATTACAATTTGCAGATGATATATGCATATATGTAGATCAATTGGAAATCGAACAAGGCGGTAGAAAAATAAATACAGTATTTAAACATCTACAAGAAGACCTAGATCAAATAGCATTAAACATATCAACCAAAAAAACACAAGCTTGCATATTCTCCCGAAAACGAAACATTCCAGAAGTAGTGGAGTTGCAAAATGTCTCGTATAAAGTTCAACCCAAAGTTAAATATTTGGGTATTATACTGGATAGAAAAATGATTTGGAAAGATCATATTGAGTACATCGTAGCAAGAGCTGACAAAGGGTACAATGCGTTACGAGCAGTAAACTATACAACCTGGGGAGCAGATCCCAACATAGCATTACTAATGTATAGATCATATATAAGATCAATATTAGATTACGGATGTTACTTTTACAATCAAGCCGCCAAAACCCATCTTCAAAAAATAGACATCCTTTCAAATAAATGCCTCAGATTATGTATAGGAGCTTTGATGAGTACTCCAATATCAAATCTAAGCGTAGAATGTAATGAACCACCACTATGGTTAAGAAGGAAAACTATGTGTGAAAAATTTATAACTAAAATGATAACTAAAGAGAGCATAATATGTAACAACTGCCACAAACTTTATATAAATGACCTAACCACTGAATACTGGAGGAAAAAGCCAACATTACTATTTGCCGAAAGTTACAATAGAATAAGACAATTTAAAAATAAACTATACACATCAACTCTGTCATCTATGCATCAGATAAATCTCAACAATATACCAAACATACAACCAACCTACATGAGAGATTACTCGAAATTTCCAGTTTACTTAAGGAATGCCATGTTTAATGTGGATATAGAAACTTTATTTCCGGAACATTACCAAATTTATACCGATGCCTCAAAAATGAATTCGAGAGTGGCCGCTGCCGTGTGGGACCCTAGGACAAGGTATAAAGAGGGTATACGACTTAATGAAAATTTTACAACATTTTCAGCAGAACTTATTGCAATACTAAGAGCAATGCAGTATATAAGCAGTATAAACAATAACGAAGAGAAATTTCTAATCCTTACAGACAGCAAAAGTGCTTTACTTAAACTGGAAAGTTTGAAGGACATATCAAACTACATATGTATTGACATTATTAAAGCATATATCGCACTTAAGGCTAAGGGCAAACAAATATCATTTTGTTGGGTAAAAGCTCACTCTAATCTTAAACACAATGAAATAGTAGATACTTTAGCTAAGAAGGCCACCGAACAAGAAAATGAAAGTGAATATAAATTAACATTAAATGATGTTTACGCAAATATTACCAGCAATAAAACCAAAACCTGGCAGCAATGGTATAACCACTCAACTAAAGGGCTATTCTACAAAAATATACAATTAAATATTCCAGCTAAATCCTGGTTTAATCATTACCACGGCGAAAAAATCGTTGTTTCATACATATGCAGACTTAGATTTGGACACTGCCTAGTTCCAGAACACAAATTTAAAATAGGTCTTAGTGATAGTAATCTTTGTGAATGTGGTGAGTTAGGATCTGCAGAACACATGATACTAAACTGTAGACTAAAGATGATAGAAATAAATCAATTCATGAATCAAGTATATAGAGAAACCAATATTACAAGACCTTTTAATCTAAAAACAATATTATCTAGTTTAGACGAACGTGTATATGAGATCCTAATTAAACACATACTTAATATAAAATTAAAATTGTGAACTATTAATACCTGTGTTTATCCCATTTGTCTACCTATCTTTCCGTGGTCTAGTCTTGTGTGTGTGCATTGCTCTGAAAGACCCCTGAGCAGAAGTACTCCTTGTTGACATTCCTTATAATGTAATAAAAAAAAAAAAAAAAAAAAAAAAAAGAGAAAAAAAAAAAAAATAAATATATATATAAATATATATATATAAAAAAAAATAATAAAAAACAAAAAAACATACAATAAAGAATAATGTTGAATAATACTAGAATATATTTTATGATATAGATATATCTATATCAATGTGTAATAATGTATGATTGTAACTGAAGATTAAATTATTCATTTATTGTTATAGAATCTAGGTATATCTTTAAAATACAAAATCTTATCTTAATAGTAATATGTGACATAAATATCTGTAGAGCAAAAATAAGTTCGGCTAATGGATTAAGTCCACAATCAGGAAATTCGATGACACACACACTCCTCTCAATCTCATCATTTCTTCTTTTAAGTTGTTCTAACTTTTCCTCTCGATTACCAGTCTCTCTTGGTAATAATTTGCTCTGTCCGTTCTCATTTTTTGTAATTCTGAGTTTTTATTTCGAAGCCTTTTGATAGGCGTTTTAGGTGTTTGTGTACATGGAATTTCTTCAATATGTTCAGTATTCTGACATACATCCTCATCTACATCCTGTTTCTTTTCCTCTATTATATGGTAAGTATCACTACTTAACAATATTTCGGGGTTAACGTTTTTTTTGTTTCCAAAAATTTGATCCATCTCCTTCTCGTACTCAAAATATTTACGCCCTCTACCTAAAATTATATTTATTTTAAAATTAAAAATATTCATGTTCAATTAAAAACTTACCCGTTTTATTTTGATTGTCAACAAATTTCTTATAGTTTCTTTCCAGCACCCTCCACCGATTTAAGCAATTGTTAGGAGTTGCTGGTATGCCAACACTATTTAATTCTCCAGCTATTCTCAGCCACAGTACTTTTGCATTTTTGATTTCCAACGTTCCTACTTTAGATTTCAATTTTAAGTACAAATCTAATAATAATTTAGAATCATTTTCGTTCCATTTGTATTCAACTTTCGTGTTTGAACCATGGTGGGAATTCCGAAGACGTTCCGGGCACAGCATTTTCAAATGTTACATATTCTTGTAAATCTGCAATTATTATAATAATATAATATTAAATATATATAATATAATAATAATACAAATATATATTATTGTTTTAACTAACAAACTTTACTTACCAAATAGTACATTGTTCGCCATTTTGTAAATATTTTTATTTAATCAAAATAAAAACAAAGTCAAAACACGTGTTAGATCTAGGTGTTACGTGTTACCAACAAGCTGCTCAAATACAGAAAGAAAGAAAGACGGGTGGCAAGCGAGGAGGTATCAAGCAAACAAATAGCCAATTCTTCTTCTTTATTTTCTTGGCCTCTGTTTTAAATGAATGGCCAGAACTCAAGTGACTCAACTCAAACAATCACCAGTGCCACAGAATAAGCGGTGCTTTAGTTAGTGCCAAAATCCGTTCCAACTCGTCTCCTCTTCGCATCGGTAATCAAACGGTGCAAAGTTGGAGCATGCGCATACAATCGATGCCAAACAATTTCGTGACCGTTTCGAAACCGTACAAAGTAGCGTGTTGGAACAAACCTAAAAAATGTTACTAAACATTTTCATGAAATGGCTAAAAAATCAGCTAGTAATAAAAAATTATTATCAAGCGCCCGCATTAATTTTATTGGAAAGTTCTGTAGAAAACTAATCTCCTTGTATGCAAAAAAAGAAAATCCTTCTGTTGAAAATCTTAAGGCTGATCTTTTGAATGTGATCAACCGTGTCTTTGGAGATCATGAATATTGTAAACAAGAATATTGCGTAACGTTTGGCGAAAAAAATAATAATTACTTCAAGAAGAGTTCTACGGAAACTAGGCTCAGAATAATGCGAATTTTAGGAAACTTGGCTGCTAAATCAAGTTGTCTAATAAAAGATGCAACTAGCAATAGAGCGGAACAATTTATGCGACAAGTCGCAAAGTTTAATAACGCCAAACAGACATTTTATAGTCGTCGAAATAGTTTTAACTCGTTCGCTGCCGATCACGCGCCAGTGCGTGATGGTCGTACTTGGAAAAAGGCCGATCACGCGCCAGTGATCTATAGCTGTAAGCTCTATAATGTAGGTTTTTAAATACGGCTTATGGAATGAGTTTAAAAATAAGTGTCGGCCTGCTAGGATCGATCATAGGTTATGATTTACATTGCGCGGTTTTTGATTTGACAGTACCAGTGTATGTTGACAGTCTAGTGAAAATGGCGGAAAGTAATAACATTGTGGCAGGACCTTCTCAACCAAAAAAGGTAAAAATTGATTTAAAACAGCCTTTAAGTGAAAAAGAACTACTATATTTACTGGAACATGACAGCTCCGCGAGGACGAGATGGTATTTGGTGATTTGGATGAATCGGACGAAGTATATTCTGAGGATTCTGAAAATGATATTGGTGTACAACAGTACGTGTTACAAAATAATGATAATGAACGTCCACAAAACCTTTCTCATAATCAAGACCAGTCTATACAATTTTCTTTGAATCCAACCACAATGAAAGATGTTTTTGAATTTACTGAACACGAAAGATTATTAGTAGACGTAACTGGAATGACACCCGATTGAATATTTTAGATTGTTTGTGACAGACGATTTTATTACAAAAATTTGTGATTTGAGTAACAGTTACGCCATTAATCTATTTTTATCTGAAAGAACCATGCTTTTAAATCCAGGATAACTAACTGGAAACAGTTAACTTCTGAAGATTTGTTACTGTTCATAGGCTTACTGTTACACATGGGCAATATTCGAATAAACCGTGTCCAAGACTATTGGCGACAAGATGAGTTATATAGCATTGGGATATTTCACAAAGTTATGAGCCGAAATCGGTTTTTATTGATAATGCGTTGCCTGAATTTCACGGAAAATAGAGAAAAGTGGTATTTTACCTGAAGACAAATTATTGAAGATTAGATACCTAATTAATTTTTTTAACGAAAAAGTATGTGCACTGTATTATCCAGGACGGGAGCTAAGTTTAGATGAGTCTATGGTGTTATGGCGAGGCAGACTTCAATTTCGCCAATATATAAAAAATAAGAGGCATAAATATGGCATTAAATTATACATGCTGACAACCCCAACTGGTATGGTTTTAAAATTTGCGTTTATGCAGGAAAACTGGACGATCTGGGTGGTAAAGATCATGCATCAAAAGTGGTAATGCATTTATTGGACGGTTTTTTGAAGTAGGACATAGTGTGTATATGGACAATTATTATAACAGTTTTTTATTAGCTAGAACACTATTGAATCATAAAACACACTGTACGGGAACTTTAAGATTGGACAGAAAGCATGTACCGAAGGAAATAAAAGACAGTAAGTTAAAAAAAGGTGAAGTTAATGGGAAGGTATGCAGATGGAGTACTCATAGGAAAATGGAGAGATAAGAGGAATGTGTCCTATATTTCTAATGAATATCGAAACATAATGGTGGATGTACCAAATAAAAGACAACAAATTGTATCGAAGCCCTTACCGATCGTTCAATACAATAAGTATATGTCCGGTATTGATAGACATGACCAAATGCTCTCTTATTACCCGGCAGAGAGAAAGACATTAAGATGGCCTACGAAGATGTTTATCCACGTGCTGCAATTGATGCTTATCAATTCACACCATTTATATAACAAATACTCTACCCAAAAAATAAGTCTTTATGACTTTCGTATTCGAGTCATACAAAGTTTATTAGCCCCGGCCCAGAAGAGGGCAGAAGAAGACCAAGCACACCGACGACCCCCAGAAGTTGGTCACATTATGTCACAAAGAGTGGCACCACCAGGTATTAAGAAAACACCTAGAAAACATTGCAAGTTATGTTACGAAAATGGAAAAAGAAAGGATACTATCTACACATGTAGGTCGTGCCCCAGTGAACCAGGATATTGTCTAGATTGCTGTACCATTATTCATAAATAAGTTACAAATGTTTAATCCACAGGGACATTTGTGGTTTGATCACTTATTTTAGTTTTTTTTTATTATTTTATTTTGATCTGAGTAATATTTTTGTTTTATAAATTTTTTTATGTATTGTTCGTTTTATTCGAATTAGTATATATAATATAATATAAATATAGTTTCTGTTTTCGTATTATAATAACGTCGTTTTATTGTCTCACTCTATGGCGTGATACGGCTAATTGAGATGAAATTCCTGGGACCACACCGATCACGCGCTGGCGCGTGATATCACAAAGTATATCTAATGACAAAAAAAATTAGTTGACATAGCTTTAGTGCAACTATTCAAGCAACTTTTCTAAATAACATTTAAACGAAAAATTCAAAAAACGTTGTCGGCCCCTACTATATATTGCATTTTAAAGATCGGCAGCGAACGTGTTAATATAAGATGTCAAGCTGCTGGTTTGGCTTATCAATTTGGTACCAGTGTCGCCAGAGCAGCCAATCCCGACAAAGATTGCTACTCCGGCCGGCCAATCACAGCGCTCGTTATTAACTTCGCTGTCATTGGCCTCTCGGCGGAGGAGCGCTGCGAATTCTCAATTACTAAATGTATAAAAGAGCAGCGCACCTTCCGATCGGGACTTCAGTTGTCAGACACTTCAAGCCCTACTAGACCTTGTTTGTTAGTGGTGCTTACCTAGCAACCTGTTGTTTCATTATTAATCCAATTATCCAAGTCGTCCTTACGTCGAATTATAACGATAACACCGACTTCGAGGAATAGCGAAAATTTCCAAACCAGACGTCCAAGATACCTGAAGGCATCATCCGCCGTCTGCCATTATACCACAGTGCACGAGAGCCAAGTATCAGCTGTAGAATCGTTTCTGTCAGGAACATACGCAATTTTGAAATAGGAAAACAGTGGTTTTCAAACTATTGCAAATTGCGTCGAACTGACACCGACGATTTATCAGGCAACGACGGTGAATACGAGGAGAAGTCTCGACGGAAACATATTCGATTTCACCGCTCCGAGTCAAGCCACGACGACGCTTCGACACTTTGAACCTTATGCATTTTGTCACTGCTAGTAAATAGAGAGAAAACTGATAGTGCGAAAGGTGGTGTACAAAGCGACGGGCTTTCCGTAGAGCCGATACAGCCGGCATTTCTTGTGCCTCCTTTTTAGGAGACAGAACGCGACGATTCCTGATAAGAAGGAAACCGACATCTCTGCAATTTTGAGGCATATACCACGCAACAGAATTCTAAACTCATATTGTCATGTAGGAAATATTATTAGTGTAAGAAGTCGAACTGATAGAGAATTCTGTCACCTCGCTTGTTGCAGACGCTCGATAGATCTTCTTTCACGAATAAGTCGGTATCTGTACCAACACCTATACGAAGTTGGATCATCGCAATACGACCTCATCTTCACGAGCGGCGGTCGTTGAGCATTCAGAAACTCCAGATAACAGAGAGGATGCCACGACCGTACGTCACCAGTTGGTTACTAGAAGTTTATAGAAAAAAAAAAATGGTAAGGCACCTTCAAATATTTTAAAACGTTTAGTAAATAAAAGAGTAAGAAAAAAACAAACGCGAAAATTAGGTAGACCCAGACGAATGTTACTCCATAATGATAACACTCAACAAGGTGTTACAGATTATGTATTACACTGTCAAAAACCCGACTTGCAAGAGATTGAAATACGCGAATTAATTGAGCAACAAACTTTAGACGTAACACCAAACTGGTTTGAGGAAAGAAAGTCTCGTCTTATAGCTTCTACTTTCGGTGAGATAAGCAAGAGAAAAATTAACTTTGGAAAGCTAGTTCAATCCCCTCTTTATAAACTTTTACCGCTACTAAAACAGTTGGAGTACGGAAAATTGAATGAAAGTGTAGATATTGAATGAAAGTGTGTTTCCAAAACCAAAAATATAGTAAATCAGTGTGGATTGTTTGTATGTTTGGAAAAAGGTTATGGGTTTTTAGGAGCTTCCCCTGACGGATTAGTAGGTGACAATAAGATTGTAGAAGTTAAGTGTCCGTATTCAGCCCGAGAATATTCACCTCTAGAGGCAGCCAAATCCATAAAAATATTTTGTAGCGTGTTAAGTGATGATGACAAATCAATGTCCCTAAAGAAAAACCATAACTACTATTATCAAATTCAGAGCAGCTCTATATTTGCCAAAGAAACATATGCGATTTTGTTATCTGGACTCCTAAAGGTATTTATATTGAGAGCATAAAATGGATGGTGTTCTGCAATAATAGTCTAAGCCACATATACATGGTTCAGAGTAAATAAGCATATTGTGTCTACCTACTTTAAGAAATTCACTGATAGAAAACAAGACTTTATTTTCACATTTTTATATTTCAATAATTACAAGCTATCTAAAAGAACGTACAAAAGCAAAATAAGTCAAACCAGTTTGTTGCAAAAATAACGTAAAGCGGCTTAGACGGTTTTTGTAAAATTGTAAAAATATAAATGGTCAAATTATACTCCGAAATGGTAAATACAAAAAAAAACTGTGAATTCTAGTTCATTAGTAAAAGTCAGTAAATGTTACTGATTAAATTCCTACTTGATTTAATCTTGATCAATCTCGAAACCAGGATTTAACCAAATTCCTTCCAAATCATACCTATAATACTCCTATCATATTCCTACTGTATTTTACTGACCAGAATTTTGACTATCAAACAACAGTTCCAATATTTTATATAATGAACAACTGGTTTCATTATTTGATACATGCAATTTTTTGTCGGCATTTATGGCACCAACATTCGAGTAATCGCAAAACATATGATGTTATCTTTTCGGCACACTATCTGCGATAAAAGGAATTTAAAGATTTCTTTTATTCATTGCCGAGTTGACAACACAGAAAATTCACAGTTTTAAATAATCTACTTTCGTATTTTACCATTAAAGATAAAGCCTGTAGTTTGGTGCAATTTTATTTATTTAAATAAAATTATTGTAATATTAGAGTAATCATAAATTTCTCGTCTTTTAATAAGTTAAAATACAGATTTGTTCAATTTAATATTTTGCATCTGGTGCACACAATGATAAGAACCTTACAAAGATTTGCAACAAGCGTCTAACCCACATATTTATAATGAAAACATGGGTTAGACTATATTTACAAATTTCTGTTTTCATATTATTTGACGAATGTGGTTTAGAACTTAGCTCACAAACGCCTCCATGAGTATGGATATGGCTTATATCATTTTTGCTTGATGTAGTATGCATTATGATCGATAGTTTGACACTATAACCTCATTTGTAAACAAATGTGGGGTAAACGGTTGTTGCAAAACACCGTCCAAATATGATGAAGAATTCGTACAACTAATGTTGAAAAAACTAGAAAATTTTTATTACAACCATTACGCGGTCAAACTTGTTGATAGTCGACATGCACGTAATATGCAGATCAGACATTACTCTAGCAGATAACTAAAAATCATAAATTAACGCCCTTCTGCTCAAGTGTACCCAAACTTCGTAAAAAATAATATTTTATTAAAAAATGTTTTTTAGTTGGGTAGATAAAAATTTTGAATTCATAAATTTTCAAATTTAATTCACTTCACGATATTATTTTGTAACGTAACTAGTCAATACTCTTTATATGCTGTAGTCTAATTAAGTTTTAATATCTCACTATGAATCACAACGTGTTATTTTGAAATTTTCATTCTTCGTTGTTCCAAAAACACCAATTTTTAAAATTAGGCAGCATACAAAGGTTGGATGAAATGGTTTTAGATTAACTTGCAGAACAATAATTAGTAAGTGAT